TAGTATTAAAAATTTTGCACAACTTTTGATTATTTAGTAATTCTTGTGAATTTTACTTTCAAATACTAGATATACTGATAATAAAACATTCAGCTAGAGTGACCAAGTCAAAACTAACAAAATAGGGACTTATTGTAAGAAATTGTTAAAATTTTTGGGAAATTTCAAAACAATTTATATATTTTTTATAGACTTAAGCTGTAATTCTATGTTAAAACCCATGGAGCGGGAGGGGTAGCCGAAAGTTATGATTTGCCACATTGTTCTATACAGAATTGTGGTTAACAATTTAATTAACCATATGTAAATTTTGCCTTTAATTTATTTATAAATAACACATTTAATTAATTAATTGATTACCAATTTTGCTGTAAATTAATTGTATAACTGGTATTCTTATAGAATAAAATTCTCAATGTTTTAAAGTAAACGAAAACTGTAACTAATTTTTTTTTGTAATTAATCTAGATATATATTGAAATAATACAAATAGTATTTTGGTTACAGTAGTAAACGTTTTTTATTATTATTTAATTAGATTATATTTCTTGTAATAACTTTAATCAAGATTAAAACAATTAAGTAATTAATGCTAATAATTAGAAATTATGTTATAAAATTACTGAATTAAAAATATAAATAATTTTAAATTAATGTATGATTTTTTAAAAATTACATTTTAAAAGTTGCTATATTTTATTGCATTTTTAGATTAAAAAAGAATACATATTAAATATTTTTAAAAAATCTTTTGCAAAAAAGTTAAGCAATGATAAAAATATATTGAATTTATAGTCAATACTCAATTAATAAATATTCATTTATAAAAATGACTTTTATATTTAACGTACATTCAAGTCATTTGATGATTTTGCAAATAATTTTATGATAACGTGTGAATAAATACAGTTTACAACATTGTACATTGTCCATTATTTTTTAAGAACAATTTTTTTAAAAATAATAAAATTGATTTTTAACAGCTATGTTTAAATTTAATTTTATGTTATGGTTAATTGTTACATTAATTCAAAACCAGAATTGTGAAGCTAATTTAACTAAATTATGTCATGTATTTAATACTAATGTTACTCAATGTAAAAATGATGTTAATTGTTATTATAATAATAGTCGTAATGCATTTTGTTTATGTGGTGTTTGTTTGTGCTCATTAAATCATACCATAATTAAACACACAAATACTTACGATTTATTTGATAATGATTATAGTATTTACTACAAAAAGTATAATGATACTATAAATTTAAATTGGTTATTGAATCCATTATATCTAATATTAATTGGCCTTGTTAAATTTGTAATTATATTCACATGTTGTTTGCGTCGCAAGAATTTGAGTGATCACTCAGATATTGTTGGTCAATCTAGATAAAATAATATTTGCAAACCAATAGGTAAGTTTGTGCATAGATCATGTAGATTTTATATTGTAGAATATTTTGTTATAAATACATAGAATAAAGCTATAAATATTTGTACTGATAGTTTTTATAAGAGATTACACCTTAAATGATTAAAATAAATAGTATTAAGTTTCGATTGTAACTATTGTTATATTTATAATATAAAAATGTTTTATAATTATTTTCTGTGAATGGTAAATTAGAATTACATTTATATTTACTATATTATTGTTATTAAAAACACGATGTAGTTGAATTGTCTAGTTCATAATGTCGTTTTTAAAGTATTATTACAGTATAAGTCTATGTTTTTTTTCACTTTATAATAGTAAAATTTTAATTGTGTTTATCAATAATCTTATACTCAAGTACTATATTTATAATTTAATTTATTATAACTTACATGTGCATAAATGTATTTCATTCATTGTTTGCAATTATAAACTAGCTTAACTTTAAATTTGTAAAAATATAATAAATTGTGTACTAAGATTATACGACATTATTTTGATATTAAAATATGCCAATTGTGTGACAATTTAGAAATTATTATCATTGACAATAAATTTATATGATTTAAAGTCCAAGAAGTTTAGACTTGTAATCTTTATATTATTAAATAATAATATAACATTAATTATTTAAGTTAGTATTTTTTGTCTGTTAATAATAGACTATTATAGTAATAGTATTTAATATGATAAAAATACTGTATGTTGCCAATTATTATATTAATGCAATATACAGTCCACGTGTTATAGATTATAACTTGTAATTTATTAACCGAAAAGTTTATTATGATTTCATGGCTCAATTTTAATTACCTTAAAATGATATAAATTTAGTCTAAATTATGTTACAAACAATAAGACTGTAATATCTTATAATATTTAGAAAAATAACTTACAATTAACTAGTTAAAAATCTAAAGTATACTGTATATAAAATGTTCTGTTTCAAATTAATTAAATATATCCTATTTGTTTTGTCAATAATAGCAACATTATTTTGGACAGCATTTGGTGCAATTGTGCTTACTGCATTTATCACCAAATCCAACCCTATTGATACAACTACTATATCTTACACCGAGTATTTTATAATTGTATCATTAAATATAATTACAAATATCATTGGCACAGTTGGCACTCATCGGCAACATTTCTGGGCATCAATGATATACAGTGTGTTCACATTATTCAACGCGATCTTGTTCATTGTTTACGGAGTTTATTGGCCCGATACTGGCGACTTCTTGCTAGTGACAATTATTATATGTGTCAACATGCTCATCTCACTGTTGGCTTTTATTTATGCGCGCGATATAACGGTTAGTAAAAATAAACATGATAGTTCACTGCGCTCTATGGAGTTGACTACTATATCGGATATTGTACATAATATTGATCCACCTGTACGGCAACTGACCTCGTACATGGATTCACCACCAACATATCATGCCTGTCAACAACCGCCATCGTATTTTGTGTGCATCCAAACTAATAACAGTAATCATGATGATTCTAAATTTGAATTTAGTCAATATGATTATTTAAAATATATGGGAAGCATTAGTAAATAAACTTTATTATTTATATTTATTAATTTAGTAGTTAGTTATTATGTTAAAACTATAAAATATAAAATTAATTTCAATCAAAAGTAGCGTAAAATGTGTAACAATTTTATCTAGATTTTTATATTATATTATTTTTAAATATTTATACTGTATTATTATAATTATTTTATTATTATTATATTGAATAATACGATATAAATAAATACAGTATTCTTATACTATTATAACGATTAATTAAAATGATAAAATATGATGGAAATTTTTTTTATTAATTTTTATAAATAATAAATTTTAAATGCAACAAATATGTTGCAATTAACCTATAAAACTTTTATGAATTACTAAATTATTATTATTAATAATAAACAATTTATTTGCTAATTTTATCATAAATAGCCATGTTATTAAAATACTCAAGTTGGTTATTTGACGGAATAGTTTTTATAATCCGAGTGTACAGATAATACTCTGGTGGTTGTTCACAAGAGTCATATGATGGTGGTAAGTCCATGTGCAAGCTCGTTTGTCCTACGGGTGCATCAATATTGTTTATATCATACAGTATTGTACTTAACCCGATTGGGTTGCCTGAATTAACATGAGTATTTTTTGAAAACATAATTTCTCGTGCATAAATTGATGCCAAAATTAAAATGAGCATGTTGAAGCAAATTATTACTACAACTAATAATAAGTCGCTTGTATAAAACCGGAGAATAGAGTGAATGATGAATATGATCAAATTGGAAAATGTAAATATGCTGTAAATCATAATGATCCAAAAGTTTTGCCGGATAACGCCAAGCGCACCAACCAGGTTGAAAATAGTATTTAGTGATGATATGGTTAAATACTCGATGTAAGATATATTAGTTGTGTTAATAGTGTCTGTCTTAGCCACCAATGAAATGATCACGATCGTTTCAAATATAATCCAGAATAAAATTCCTAATATAGACAGTACAAGCAATTTGTATTTTATTAATCTTAATGAGAACATTTTATATATTTTAAATAATGCTATGATTAATTTATATTAATGGATATTATTAAATTGTACTGTGCAATTTATACAATATTGAATGATTTATAAATATAGTCTTTTTATATTTATACCATTTTAAAGCAATTAAAAGTTGTTATAAAAAGCACTGCATTTTTATATACAAATTTAAAGTACTGCAAAAGAATTTTTAAATTAGCCGGTCTGTATTCATTTGCTCAAGTTAAAATACAAACTTCTAGTATGGTTAATATTTAATTTTATAACTTTACAGTTAAGATAATGATTAACAAATTAATGGAAGTTGTAATATTTGTTATACATTGTACTTCATAAACATGAATATATATACATGTATGTTTGGTACATGAAATCTCTTCAAATACTTTGTGTGCCATTTGTTTACTTATTTACACTTCTACCTTGTTTATAAGTTATACCTAGCGCGAGCACTCTGTATTTAAATAATGAGAACATAATGGATTATAAATCTGCTGTAATTAAATTTTATCTGACCAAATTTAGCAAATTAGCTACTGTACATTCATTCACTAACAATTTACTAAATAAAACATTTATTAAAAATAGTATTTTTTATTATTTAATTTGAAAATACATTATAATATTTTAGATTTATTTTTCATTATGTTTTACATGTATTAATGAAAAGTATTTATAAACCAAAATAAAAAATCAAAGAAAAATTATATCAAAATACGTATCACATTAAAAGTATGGGAATAACAGAGTAAAACAGGAAATAATACACATGGTAAAAATATCACAACACAGATAATTATACAAAAAACAAAAAAGATACATGGATAAATTTATATAAAAATATACACTAAAACAACTATATCAAATATATGCAAATAAAAGCTAAAGTATATGAATAAATGACCATCTTAATAAACTACACAAAAAACCAATATCACTATTAATATAAAAATATGCCAAATAATTCACTACTAGACCACTAATAGCCCGTTCATTATGACTGTACGACCCCTTCGAGCAGCTCCTGAGGAATCATTCGCTTGAGTTCTGTTTTGTTGATCTTCTTTAGAGGCGTTAACGGGAACTGATCGATGATTCGGACGCCTCCTCTCAGCTTCTTATAGTAGTTAACCCTCGAGTCGACCCAATCCTGGATCTGCTTCTCAGTCAGTTGCGAGCCCTTCACGAGTGTCACGAATGCCATCGGAATTTCATCCCTTTCCTCGTCTTTGATGCCAATCACAGCCGCGTTCTCTATCTTCTTGTTCTGCAACAATATGTGCTCCAACTCTGCCGGCGATACCACATAACCTATACGTTATGAAATGATCATGGTTAATTGATTACCATCTAGATGTAGTGGTTATTACATACCCTCCACTTTAATGATCTCTTTGAATCTTCCGATAACATAGAAGAACTCTTTGTCGTCATAATAGCCATAATCACCGCTTTTCAGGAATCCATCGCTTGTGAAGAGTTTGGCGTTTTCCTTGTCATTGTTTAGGTATCCGGGGGTTACCTGAAGGGGGGTCAAAAAGATACATTTTGTAAAAATAAACAGTATTTTTTATAATTACAATTAAACTTTTTATAATTAATTTTGGAGTTTGTATACAACTGTAATCAATGCCTAAAATTTGTAAAGATAAATGTAATATTTGAAGTTGTGTTATTTAATGGATCACTGTCATTTATCTGTTATCTCAACCAGACATTTAAATAATTTTTGATAATAATAAATTAAAATACAACTTTTAAAAATAATAATTATATATGAAAATTGATATGGAGTAAACAGAGTTTACCAGATTAGTAAATTCATCTATTATGGTCTAAATAAAATAATTTATCTACACAATAATTACAGTTTTCTAATGGCAAAATTTACACTTTTATTGTTGAATCTAAATGAAGTACATACCTGATCACCTCTGAAGCACAATTGACCCAGCACATTAGGCCCAATAGCTTGCTCATTTTCATCGATCACTTTGCACTCCAAACCGGGCGACACTTTACCACAAGTAGCTGTGTTTGAGAGCCGGCGCTGATCGCTCAGGTAGACCACAATCGCCCAACCGATCTCTGACATACCGTAACCTAATATAAATTATACACAATGTTAATACAATAATTAGAAATTAGTTGCATAACATTAAGGTTATTTTAATAATGTATCTAGATACGTACAACTCCTAAACTTATCAAAATCATATTTCTCGACAATCGACTTATAGGTAGAGTCCGACAAATGGGAACCGCCAGCCAACACATCGCGAAATGTTTTCAAATAATTGTTATCATATTTCTCAAAATTTTTGGCCAAAAAATTGAGCTGGGTGGTGATTATGAAGCCGCTGGTGATATTATATTTGTGAATGTTGGAAAAGGCATCTTCGTGCTTTTCCTCGATCCTAATGATGGCCAGTTGTGATCCGCCGTTAATACAGGAAAACAGCGATCGCTGGCCACAGATGTGACAGAAACCGCTCGACAGGAATATCTCGTCGGCGGTGAGCGGACACAACTCCTTGTGTTGCATTGTGGCGATTGTCGACAGAAAGTTGCGGTGAGTCCTAAGTATAGCCTTAGGCCGACCGGTGCTGCCGGAGCTCATCACGAGAGTGGCGCAGTCGTCCAGATCGCCGATCACTGGCAATGGGATGTTGTCTTTGCGTTTTTGTTCAAATATCTTCTCAATGGTCAACAAATCGCTCTTTTTCTTAATTTCCTGCTTTGACTGCTCATCGATTACTAGCAATTTCTATGGGAATAGATTTTACCATAAGTTTAACATTAATTGATTAAATATATTATTTTTTAAATACCTTAACAAATGGATAGTCGAGTGCGATATCGTCCATAGTCTGGAAGTTAGAGCCAATACATACGAGTACTGCGGGCTTTATATTCTCAATTACTTCACGTATTTCACCTATAAATAAATGTATTGATTTTAAAATGAGTACATTTATCATGTAATATATGATTCATACGTTCGGCCGAGTGCTCAGCCATAGAGCTATAGACGCCTCCGGCGGCCAAAACGCCCACAATTCCGATCGCATGGATATCCGAGTTATTGGTTACGAAACAAACAATTTCTCCTTTGTTTAGCTGACAATCATTGATGAGATAATACGCAAAGTTTAGGGACGAGTCGAGCACTTGGCGTTTGGACCAAAACCTGTCCATTGAACAGTCGATCTAATGATATAAAAACAAACATGGTTAATTAATAATATTTTTCCATGGTACAAAAATACGTACAATGCAACCCCTGTCAGAATCGGTTTGTAATCGTTCAATAAGCAATTCGCTGAGTGATTGATATGGGTACTTTTTTAATAATAATTTTGATTTAATAATACGTGAATCACAGGATATTTCCATCGATGCCATTGTATTAAAATGGTTGACAATATTCTTGAATTTATTCATGATTTTTGTGTATTTATTTATTTCTCGTTACGATTTGATCATAAAATCACTTTTTGTATAAGTGGTATATTTATATTTACTTGTGATCTGAAAATAAAAAACATAAATGTAAATTAATTTTATTCTGATTAAGTTGTCTCTTTTAAATAATCATAATAACTTAAATTAAAAACATTTTTATCAGTTTTACAATCAAATAAAATACATTGACTAGAAATTCTAATATTATATGAGCTAGTAAAACTAAATGTTTAATAAACAGAGCATTTTACATTTTACATAAGAGCATTTATTGCACCTGAACATTTTAAAAAAATGATGTGAAAATAAAATTTTAAATTTTGATCATAATATAATATAAAAGTACACGATTTTGTATAAATTCTCAGTAAAACATATTAACAGTACAATAGCATGTAAATTATTGTAGACTCAAAGCGTTGAAATAGTGGAAGTGGAGTTTAATTCAAAAAAAATATTTACAAAATTATTGGTAGAAAAGTTCCCAATTAAAAATATTTATTCTAAAAGGGTAACACAGAATTGCAATATTAATTTTTTATTACAGTTATTAAAACATTCAAATAGAATTATCTAAATCAATTTAATTTGTAAATAATATAATGTAGTTAATGTTAGACTATTGAATTAAATCTGACAACAACAATGATAACTGACCAATAGGTACAGTGAACCTGAAATTACTGTCACTTGGTTTAGGTATTTAAACATAATTTCAACTCGTTTTTAATCTAATTCAGTGAAAGTTATTTCCAACACGAATCTCAATACAGGTAATAAAATCAATGTTATATTTAGCATCATGTAATAAATAGGAAATATTTTATCTAAATGTATAAAATAGTAGTATAAATGATATAATAATTATATTACACACATATAACTGGAATTCTGTTTATTTTCTATTAAATATATAATAATATTGAAGTAGTTTTCCATCGGGGTATTTTCCAGAAACAAATTGAAAGTGTAAATAAATATTTCAAGTTTGAACAGGATAAATTATCAATAAATTGAATTATCAAATGGAAAACTACATAAAACTTTAATATATAAAATTATCACCATAATCAACCCATTATTTAATTTATTACAAGTGGGATCTGTCTCACAACTAGTTTAAATATAAAAGTGGATAGCATTTAAATATTTAAATTTTGTAATAGTTATAATTAAATGCAATTTAAAGATTAAAAATTATTTAATTTTTACAAAGTCTGCCAAAAATATTGTCCTTTAAATTCCAGATAAGACTTTTAAATAGAAAAAATAAATACAAAAATATTTAAAGATATTTTTCACAGAATTTGTAACCAAAATAAGAAATAATTAAATTAAATCTTTCAAAATATTACCAAAAATAGATTACATTAATTTAAAAATAATTAAATGTAATTAAAATATTTTTACTTACATACCAATAGTGGATAATATTTGACAACATAAATGAAGAACAATTTACAACAAAATAATAATTTAATTTATATAACTTATAATTTATTAAAAGTAAAACTTCATTTAAAATATTAACATTTCACATTAATATTTCTTTAACTATTATAATTAAAAATAATTAATTATAATATAATAATAACAATATTATAATCAAAACCCCGAAAAGTGAGACCACTTCAGGTGTTTGTCGTTTCAAACACTGCTTTATAATGAAAAGAGTGCTTAAAATGTTTGAAAGAGTTTTGCGAAACAAAAATAACAAACTTTTTCGAGGATTGCCTTCACTTTATATACAGAGACCCAAACCTAAACATACATTACATTACTCTTTGCGCGCGTTTTTAGCAATAATTTTTTTCTTACTTCATATATAACAAGAAGTATAAGTAATAATAATAACACTAAACAGTAATTTTTTATTCATTACACCTTAACTCTCTCTCTCTCTCTCTC